GCGCTTCGTTGGAGCATTCACGGCACTAGACAAGGCCCAAGCCTCCATGAATTTTGAATAATATGGCCTTACGCCTTTCTATAGATAGGGAGGTATTTACACTCCCAGCAATGCATATTGCTCTCTGGACCCAACCTCTAAGGTCTTCGGGGTCAACCATGCGGTTCTCCGCTCTGGCGTCTTCCGCCAAGTCAAATAATTTGGCCAAGGGGCCGAATATGTCCAGGTGTTTGTCCTGGCAGGATTTCAATGCCGACTCCAGTCCTTTACGGGGATTCCAGACCATTTTAGTGAGGAACTGGGTCATCTTGGGGTCTACCTCCGGAGTGTCACAAACTTTGTTAGGCACCACAAGCCTAGGACACTCTGCCCTCAATTTGTTGCGGGCCACTTTACTTAAGGGTCTTCTGACCCAATTTTCCAGGTATGTGGCAACGTGGTCAGCCGGGAGCCACTCTGCTGACCTCGGATGGTGTAGATCATCCGGGTCGAAGAGTGGGACACCCGAAGGATCCACAAGGGTGGACCCCGCAGCTGCGGGGTTCCTGATCCCTATCTCGCCTCCGGGCATCTCTGCCTGAGCAGAGGAAAGGAGGTCAAGACCAGCATCAGCGGCATCCGCATCAGAGTCTGTATCCGACTCGCTCTTAGCCTCCTCATTTGACCCGATTTCTGAGTCGGTGTCGCTCTCTATCTGTGCTCTGGCACATTTCCATAGCCGCGCCCGTTCTGCCTGGCGCGGAAAGGCTCTTTTGCGTGGATGGGACACGCTTTCTGGGGCGACCGAAGGTACGCCAGTCATGGTGTTTCTGGAGGCAGAGGGGTGCTTGGACTTATGGGTAGCCTTTTTAAACACCTCTTTAGACACCTCTCCCTGGGGTTTCACAGAGGGACGCGGTAAAGGCGTTGAGAGGCCCGAAAGTTGCTCGTCTGAAGGACGTGGCAAGAGGGCCTGTGAAATGGTGTGGGAGAGGGTGGAGGACATAGACCCCATGGCCGCCATAATGGCGTCTGTCACTGAGCGCTGCAGCGCTAGGAACTGAGTGGGTAGTTTCATCAGCCATAGTAGGCGAGCTGTCTGAGGTGACAGGAGCCTCACTCCTAATGAGTGGGGTATCAGACTCCCCAGAGGGAGTGGAGCCATGCGAACGCTCTGTTCGCCGAATGGGGAATGAGATGTGTGTGCGGCGAATCAGCCGAATAGGCTCAATTCGCGCACATACACGGCCGGGGAGAGAACGTGCGCAAAATGGCGCCAGGGCAACAGACAGACAGGAGACAAGACTACATTGACAGGGGAGGTCTGGGCCCTGAGACTAACAGAAAAACAGATAAAGACATAGAGGTACAATGAGACAAAGTACTAAATAATTGTAATACAAAATAAAAATGAAATAAATATAAGTAAAATTAATAAATAAATAAATACATAAATACAATAAATACAAATAAATGTAAGATAAATATGGTAGGAAAAGCTATAGAATGCTACCAGGTTTAAGTGGTAAGCAGACGGACAGAAAATATCAATGAGAAAAAAACAGTATAATAAGAAAATATGAAGAGAAAAAATGACATGTACTTATCTTTGTGTCGGAGCAGCAAAGAAAGAGGGAAATGGAAGGGAAGTGCTGCCTGTTATACTGGGACCTGAGCGGGGAGGGGCCTATGTTACTGCATGTTCATTATTTTTTCATTCTGTTTGTATTCTTTGCTGCTATTGGTGGACAGTAAAGAAAGGGATATGCAATATGAGCCTCTGTGTCTTGTTATAAAATTACTTTTGTTAGCATTGGTTGGCAAAATGTTAGATTGAGTAAACTAAAAAATTTTCCATTTACTCACTGACCTGTGGGTGTTTATTTTGATTGATGCCTGGTTGGATTCTAAGGCATGTTTGCATTATTGACTCTTTGCCTTTCTGCACCATCTCCTGCTTGAGTGATGATGTTGCGCGCATTGTTTTATGCATTGAGTTATGGTGTTCTTTTTGATTTATTTATATTTATATTTATTTTTTGTGTATTATTCATCTTAATTTTTCTAGCCTATAGCCATGTCATTGATTTGACACACTTGGACTAAATTCATATACAGTAACTACTTAACTGTTTGATGAATTATGAATGAATTTATTCACTAAGTGCTTAAATGTTTTATTGCACAATTTGATCTCCCAGGATATATAAATAGCTTGCACGATGACGCATTAATGTCATATGCCGGACAAAACGTGAACATGCCTAGGAAGTCTTCTCTCTTTGGAGAAAATAGTAGAACGCGAGTTATGGCGTTCTTTTTGATTTATTTATCTTTAATTATTGTTATTATTAATCTTAATTTTTCCAGCCTACAGCCATGCTACTTCATTGATTTTACACACTTGGACCAAATTCATATACAGTAAATATTTAACTATAAAAGAAATAAAAGATAAAGTGGCACTAATAAGAGAAAGAATCTCTAGTGGTAAAAAAAAAGTGCAATGTCACTCTTTACACTTAAAACTGTGGTTAAAAACAAACAAAGTGATTACCGCGCATAGATATCGTTAGTTTACCTCTAAAACAAGGATTGTTTAGTGAATATTATGGTAGAATTATTCCTCAGGTGCAGATATATCATAAAATAAACATACATTCTTTTATACATCTTATAACTAATTTTAAAATCATCTCACATGTGGAATAAGGGCTTAACATTCCCTCCCACTTCCAAATATGGTCCTGACCGGATATGGCTTGCCATCCCCAATATGGTAGCATATACGGTTTCGGACAGAGTTTCTCACCCACCCCAACATGTCCATTCTTTCATCACTTCTATCGACCGTCGCATAACTTCCTGTGACGTACTTCCAGTATTGCTTGCAGTCGTCACTTCCGATGACGCTTTTTCGGAAGCTCGGTCTGTTTTTTCTCCAGGGGAAAGTGGGGAGTGGGGAGTGGGGAGAATGCAAATCTCTTGCTCCATTTTTTAAAGGGCATTTTTGTCCATAGTTCATATTAGATAGCATAAAACCAATTTAAAAATAGTAAAAGAATAAATATACAGTGGGACCTCGGTTTATGAATTTAATGCGTTCTCCGGGACATTTCTTATTGCAAAAAATTTGTAAAGCGAAACGTGGTTTCCCATAGGAATGCATTGAAAACCAATTAATCCATTCTGAAGGTTAGAAAAAAGTCAAAATGAGCTGGCATGGAAACCAATCCATAATGCAGAACACACAATAAAAGGCATGCAAACGACAAAGCTCAGCTACCTACCTTTCCACAGATTGAGAAATGCACCAAGAAGTCCCAAAACAACTGCAAACAATTTCCAGAATGGTTTCAAAACTCGATGCAAAAGCCGCTCCAACACCTCCAACACCTCCACACTCTACGCCACGTGCTGCCCACAGGCTCCAGCATGCAGGGGGCGATGCTATAAACCTCCCAGGTGCCATGCATCCCGGGGAAACTAAACCAGGGCATTATTTTCAATGGATTTTCATTTGTAAACCGAAAATTATGTTAATCGAGGCGTTTGTAAACCGAGGACCCACTGTATATCAGTATTAGTAAGATACATTAGTAGAAGTACTTACGACAAGAAATAGACATAAAAGAATAGACATAAAAAAACTATATAATATGTATACTGTAATCACATAAAAGAAAGTGTGTTTTAAAAACAATGATCAGAGAGAGGGTGGATTTTTCATAAAGGAGAGGATAAGGGCAATAAAATATTGGAGACTTAAAGAATACAGTTGATCTCGAAATCTATATTCAGACCCAGGGGAGTTAGGGTGCGCATTTCAAAAACCCATTTTGCCTCATGGGTACTCAATTTGTTTGCTATATCTTCTCCTCACCAATGTATATTCACCTTTTCTATTGCAAAAAAGTCCAACATTTTTGGATCTGATCTATTATTTTCTAAGAAATGTTTTGACATACTATGGTTAATAAATCCTTTTTAAATGTTCCTAATATTTTCACTAATTCTGTTTTTTTAATCGTTCTGGACGTTTTACCAATATATTGGTACCTGCATATACATTTCAATAAATAAATTACATTATTCGTATGACAAGTATTAAGTGATCTGATTTTGTATTCCTGTTTTGCCACAGATGAACTAAACTCTGATATATTCTTATTAGATATATTTGAATTTTTACATGCATTGCACATACCACAGTGGAAGAAACCACTTTGTTTTTGTGTGTCATTATTTTAAAAATTATTATTAGGAACTTTCTTCACTATGAAACCTTTAGTCAAAATTAGTTTACATTTTTTTGCCCCTCTAAACCAAAAACAATTATTTTTCAGAATCATTTTAATGCCTTATAGTATAAATTATTTTTAAGCCTTTCTGTATATATTGGATTGGTCGAAAAAATTTTTTTGTAGCTTCGCAACATTTTTTATGTTCTATAATTGTATATAAACTTGTTACGTCGCATGTAAAGAGGAGTTAATCTTCCTCCCATTTAATTTTTTTAGAATGCTTAATAGGCTCATTGAATCTTGAAGGTATGATTTACAATTTTTAACTAGTGTATAAATTCGATCTTATCTCCTATATCTCAATACGTTGATTTTCATCATCAACCACTAGTTAAGAATTGTAAATCATACCTTCAAGATTCAATAAGCCTAATAAGTCTTTTAAAAATTGGAGTTATGGCATATTTTTGATCTATTTATATCTTAATTTTTTGTATATTGTTAATCTTCAGTTTTTTTCAGCCCATTGTCATACACTTCATTGATTTGACAGACATGGACCAAAGTGATACACAGTAAGTACTTAACTGTTTGATGAATTGTTCAATGAATTTGTTTACTAATTGCTTGATTGTTTGATTGTATACTTTTATCTCACTGCCTATAAATTACTTGTAAAATGTGAATTAGCTTGCAAATATCTATTTGTGGATCAAAACGTTGCAGTGTTTACCTTGTTCCAATAAATATTATTATTATTATTTTATTATTTATATAGCGCCAACAAATTCCGTAGCGCTGTACAATGGGTGGACTAACAGACACATAATTGAGATCAGACCACTGACGTACAGGAACAGAGGGGGTTGAGGGCCCTGCTCGATGAGCTTACATGCTAGAGGGAGTGGGGTATAGTGACACAAAGGGTTAAAGTAGGGGAATTAAATAGTTTGTTACAGAAGGGTTTATTGAGTGCTTGGTAGGTCATTTTTGACAGGTGAAGGAACGGAGTCATGGGGTGGGGGATGAGAAACCTGCTGACAGTTTAATTGATACGCTTTAATAAAGAAGTGAGTTTTCAAGGATTTTTTGAAGGAATGGAGGCTGGGTGAAAGTCTGATTGAGGAGGGAAGGGAGTTCCATAGAATAGGTGCAGCCCTGGAGAAGTCTTGAAGGCGAGCATCAGAGGTGGGGATCCGGGCAGAGGATAGGAGTAGGTCTTGGGCTGAGCGCAGGGGTCTCGTCGGGACATACTTGTGTATGAGGGAAGATAGGTATGTTGGTGCAGCATTATGTAGGGATTTGTAAGCAAGCGCCAGAATTTTGAATTGGGCCCTATATCTAACTGGAAGCCAATGCAGGGACTGACAGAGCGTGGAGGCATGGGAGGTGCGACCGGACAGGAAAATAAGCCTCGCAGCCGTATTCATTATAGATTGCAGCGGTGCAAGCTGGGAACATGTAAGACCGGTGAGAAGGGGATTGCAATAGTCAAGGCGAGAGAGAACAACAGCATGAACCAGTACCTTAGCCGCGTCCGGCGTTAGATATGGGCGGATGCGCGCTATGTTCTTGAGTTGGAAGCGACAGGATTTGGCTATCGATTGAACATGGGGAGTAAAAGAGAGATCAGAATCAAAAAGAACTCCTAGGCAGCGAGCCTGGGAGGTAGAGGTGATAGTAGCGCCGTTGACTTGGATGGCGACAGACACAGGAGTAGCAGCACTTGAGGGAGGAAAAACTAGAAGTTCTGTTTTGGACAGGTTGAGTATAAGGAAGTGAGCAGCCATCCAGTTGGAAATAGCAGAGAGGCAGTCAGAAACATGAGTCAAGGTGGGCGGAGAGAGATCAGGGGAGGACAGGTAGATTTGCGTGTCATCTGCATATAAATGGTATTGGACGCCAAAAGAGCTGATGAGTTTACCAAGGGAGGCAGTATAGATAGAGAACAGTAGGGGGCCGAGGACAGAACCTTGGGGGACGCCGACAGGGAGGGGTTGGGGAGAAGAGGCAGAGCCAGAGAAAGAAACACTGAAGGAGCGCTGGGAGAGGTAGGAGGAGCACCAGGAGAGAGCAGAATCCCGTAGACCAAAGTTACGGAGAATGTGAAGAAGCTGTTGATGATCAACAGTGTCAAAGGCGGCAGAGAGATCAAGGAGGATTAGGATAGAGTATTGGCCGCGAGATTTAGCAGCAATTAAATCGTTGGATACTTTGGTCACAGCAGTTTCGACAGAGTGACCAGCGCGGAATCCAGACTGAAGGGGGTCAAGCAGAGAGTTGGATTCAAGAAAGTCTGTCAATCTGGCGCAGACAACTCTCTCAAGGATCTTGGAGGCAAATGGCAGTAGTGAGATAGGGTGGTAGTTGGATGGGGAGTTGGGATCGAGGTTGGGCTTTTTCAGAATTGGGGTTACGGTTGCATGTTTGAAGGCAGAGGGAAATGTGCCAGAGGAAAGGGAGAGATTGAAAATGTTAGCGAGAGGAAGAGCAAGAGAGGGAGACAAAGTGCGGATGAGATGCGAGGGAATAGGATCGAGGGAGCAGGTGGTGGGGCGGGAGGACAGGAGCAGAGCAGAAACCTCTTGTGCTGTAGCAGGTGCAAATGAGCTTAGGATGACAGGGGGAGTGGGGTTGGGTGATGTATTGATACTGGTCGGAGAAAGATTAGAGATCTCTTTCCTGATTGTAGAGATCTTCTCAGTGAAATGAGATGCAAAGTTTGTGGCGGACAAGGTGGTGGAAGGAGGGGGAGTCACAGGGCGAAGAAGTGCATCAAAAGTGTGAAACAGGTGTTTGGGTTGGTGGGACAGTGTGCTTATGAGGGTGTTGAAGTAGCTTACTTTTGCAGAGGAAAGAGCCATGCTGTAGGAGCGCAGCATAAATTTATAGTGGACAAAGTCAGATGCAAAGTGAGACTTTCTCCAGCAGCGTTCAGCAGTTCTGGAACATTTTTGGAGGTAACGGGTCAGCTTGGTGTGCCAGGGTTGTAGTTGGGGGCGCTTGTTGCGTTTAACTGTAGGAGGTGCCATGATGTCAAGTTGAGAGGAGAGAGTGGCGTTGTAGAGTGAGGTTGCAGAGTTAGGGCAGTTGTGATTTGAGATGGGTAAAAGGAGTGTTTGGAGTTTAGTGGAGAAGTGCTGGAGATTGAGAGAGTTGAGGTTTCTGCGAGGTTGGAGAGTGGACGGTGGTGAGATTTTGGTATGGGGTATGCAGATGTTAAATGTTAGCAGATGGTGGTCAGACAAAGGAAATGGGGAAGTGGCGAGATCAGAGGTAGTACAGAGATTGGTGAAGATGAGGTCAAGAGTGTTTCCTGCAGTGTGAGTTGCTGAGGAAGAAATCTGTGTGAGTCCAAAGGAGGAGGTTACAGAGAGCAGACGAGAGGCATCAGGGCAATTGAGCTTGTTGATAGGGATACTGAAGTCCCCAAGTATGAGAGAGGGAGTGCTAGAGGAAAGAAAGTGGGGTAACCAGGAGGAAAAGTGTTCAATGAATAGTTTAGGGTGACCGGGGGGGCGATAGATGATGGCAATTCTTAAAGGAGTGGGCTTAAAAAGGCGTACAGTGTGAACTTCAAAGGAAGTAAAGGATAGGGCAGGGAGGATAGGTTGAAAGGTACATTGAGGGGAGAGAAGGATGCCAACACCACCTCCTTTACAGTCAAGTCTAGGAGTATGGGAGAACTGTAGACTACCGAAACATAAAGAAGCAGGAGTAGCGGTATCGGATGGAGATAGCCAGGTCTCAGTGAGTGCCAGTATTGTGAGAGAGTTAGAGATGAGGAGGTCATGTATTGCTGTAGATTTGATATTACTACAAATGGAGCGAGCATTCCAGAGTGCACACTGAATTTTGGTAGAGGAGGATAGACTGCAGGGTATTTGGAGGAGGTTTGCATGGTTTCTGGTTATTTTAGTGTGAGCAGATGAGGTGAGGGGCCCTGGGTTGGGAGAGACGTCACCAGCTGCCAGAAGTAGGAGGAGACATAGAGACAGGAGGTGTGAGTGGGTTTTATAAGGGCGGCGACTAGGGTGAGATTGGGTTAGAGCAGGAGAGAGAGAATAGAGAAATGAGTGCAGGGCTTGAGATGAGAGAAGGGGGGAGTGTAGCAGAGAGGGATTAATGTAAATGTTAGTGTTTTGTTGAGGGAAGTGGGTGGAAGGGGATATTTTGATCTTTAGGGAGATGAGAGAGAAGGAGAGGAGGAGAATATAGAACATTGCTCTGATAGGTAGGTAATTAGAGGGAAGGAGAATGAGCATAAGGGAGGAGAGGGAGTGAGTGTTAGGGGTTAAGAAGGTGGATTGTGCTCATTATAGGTAGTGTTTGCAGCTGCTATTTGGAATTAACTAAAGTTGTGTGTGGGATTCTATCTATAAATGCAGTAAGGAACTTGGGGTGGGGTGGGCGGGAATCTGAGCACTGTTCAGGTTTGCTAGAAGTGGTCTTTTAAAACTCAGACTGTGGAAGACAGAGATGATAGGGTCAAAACAGGACTGCAATAAAAGCTATGGAATGGAGATGCACAGAGGAGGTGAGGATTGGTCAAGCAAGACATTCGGGTGGGTATCAATAAAATAAGGGGGGGGGGAAGAAATAACAGAGAAAATCTTTAGAGATAAGCAGGATGTTGAATAACATTTAAGTTAACAAAACCAATGTTGAGAAGGGCAGGGAGCAACTAGCTTTAGCATGCAGGACAAGACAAACTGCAGAATATATGTATGTATGAGAAAACACACACACACATATAAATATATATATATATATATATTTATATATATATATATACATATACATACACACACACACACACACATATACATATATATATATATACACACACACACACACACACACACTAAAGAGCAAGCACGTCCAGTTAAGATACAATGACAAAGAAATGGTGGTTAGAGATATATAGTTTAAAAATATGCAAGGGGTTCAAATTCAATACAATTATAGTGTCCAGTATTAAGGGTAGATAGTTTCCTCCATAGTCTACCTTGCAGAAACTCAGACATGCATAAGGCCTTTTCCTTCCAGCTGTAGGTGATCTGAGCACTGTTCAGGTTTGCTAGAAGTGGTCTTTTAAAACTCAGACTTGCAGAAACTCAGACATGCATAAGGCCTTTTCCTTCCAGCTGTAGGTGATCTGAGCACTGTTCAGGTTTGCTAGAAGTGGTCTTTTAAAACTCAGACTTGCAGAAACTCAGACATGCATAAGGCCTTTTCCTTCCAGCTGTAGGTGATCTGAGCACTGTTCAGGTTTGCTAGAAGTGGTCTTTTAAAACTCAGACTTGCAGAAACTCAGACATGCATAAGGCCTTTTCCTTCCAGCTGTAGGTGATCTGAGCACTGTTCAGGTTTGCTAGAAGTGGTCTTTTAAAGCTCAGACTTGCAGAAACTCAGACATGCATAAGGCCTTTTCCTTCCAGCTGTAGGTGATCTGAGCACTGTTCAGGTTTGCTAGAAGTGGTCTTTTATGCCTATAGAGCAGGGGTGGGCAATCTTCAGCCCTCCAGATGTTTTGGACTACATCTCCTATAATGCTCTTAGGGCCGTAATGCATGCAAAGCATCAAGGGAGATGTAGTCCATAACATCTGGAGGGCCGAAGATTGCTCACCCCTGCTATAGAGCATTCCTTCTTTAACTGGTATTTAGATTTGGAGCAATGACACAGAGGAGGTGAACTGCAGCCTTACACCATTCTTCTGTATGTTGAAATTGGTGGTTAGATAGTGGAGGTTCATTGGGATATCTCTTGACACAGTACTGTAAAAGTGAGACAGAGAGCAAGAATTTCAGGGCCTTTACTAGCTCAGCACTGTGTAGGTTTGCAAATAGGCAGGTAGCCTTTAATCAGAAAATTATCCAGTACTTTATTGGTCCTGGAGTTGACCAGACTGCAAGACTGAGATGTTTACAAATAATGAATTTATAAAGCAATTTGGCTATCTTTGGTGACAAAGGAGTCACAGGAAACAGAGTATATGTCTCAGGCTACAGATCTTTTCAAATGCGGAGTCATGCTACATGGGATATACTTATAGAGGTTGCAAGGATATATGATGTTACACCTTGGAACTCCAGCATCCTCCATTTATTATACTATTCATATATTCTATATATTCTATTCCAACTCAGTAGGATTGTCCACACTGAGATATATACATTTCATGTGCAAAACAGGCAATTCTTTTGTTCATGTCCCTGGGCCAAACATTTCCAGTCCTCCCCTGGTTGTAATGAACATATATTCTAATTTTACATTGCATGGGAAAGGTATGAATTCTGGTTGAATGAAATATTTGCTTTCAAAAATTGTTAAACCAAAAATGTCATCCAATCTTGCAAAGGCCAAAACTTGGATTTTATTTTATTTTTTTACTTCAATGACATCTTAATAAAGATGAAAGTAAAGGTGTACACATTTTTTATCTCTTTTCTATTTTTGCCCTTGAACAAAGATTTAGCCTTTTGCAGATAATGTATATAACTGTAACAATATTCATACAGCACTGGGACCAATTAGGTGGATAATAATGTAGAAATATTAGCTTGGTGGACAAGAAAGGTGGATTTAAAACTATATCTTCAAGAGCAAAATACAATTACATATGCATTAAGCCAAAGTCATGATATAGAATCATTGCAAAGAGTAGAAGACTATGCATCAAGATATAGCAGTCTGGATGTTAGGTTGAAGGCAGTTTAGCCAGTTTCTACATTGCAGTCAGCGTTGTATGTCTCATTAGTTCTAGTATAATTTCTCATGTCTGCCGTGTCTGCTAACCAAGAAAGTAAATATAATCCTATGGTCCTGTAAATATTGCACTTGGTTTGCATAAAAATGTAAACACAATATTCTTAAAAATGTCAAAAATAGAAGATATTCCCTGGAATCATTAAGCCCCATGTTTATCCCATTGTGGGTAGAGAAGATTTAGTAGCATGGAAAACAATACACAATGATTAGTAGTTATATAAACCATCACCATATATGTCCTCAATTTCTTAGTCAGTTGGTGCATCCTTAACTCCAAGCCACCCCACCAAGCATTTTACTGTTTAGTGTTCATGAAATAAAGCAGAAAATAAGAGAACAAAAATTGAAAAGGGATACCTAAAAAGTCAATAAAAAGAGTGCCAAAAGAATAGGCAGAGAGCTTAGATTGGGGGATTATTGTCTGGAGGAATTTAAGCAGCCAAAGCAATGGTTCCATAGGGTACCAAGTTTCATGGAAATAGAGAATAGAGAGAATGGCTGGCAACTTATCTGTCGGACATGTTATCTTGTAGCTTATGAATGATCAGAGATTTGGGAGGTTCGGGTGACATCTTTCCATCAAAAAGCTAAAGCTCTTTTGGTTGTTCAAGAAATTTTGGCTCAAAGTCTATTGGTTTCTGAAAGATTTTACTAGCTAAAGTACTGATAGGTGACCAACATGGCTTTAACCGTGGGCATAGATATTACATAAGGTAGAACATTCCTCTACATCCACAATCCAACCAAGAATGGTCAGTAGGAGAAACCTCCATCCTAAAAAACGTAACTGAAAAGCATCTCATAGCACTGGAAGTAGACACCAAAAACACTCTACTTATTTAAACAAGATACAGTGGATTTGTACCTCAAGACCTCCAGGGACCAAAATTAAAGAAGGGAAAATGGGTAAAGGTGAAGGTTCAGTATTGATGGAACTATTCAATTTAAACCAACTGGTTAGGAAATTGACCTTGACAAATTCTCCACAACTGGGTTATATATTTAAATATATCTATTGTAAATAGCATTTGTTTTCTATGATTTATTTTGAGGGGGAGGGCAGAGACAAACTTTATGGATATACGCAAGACAGGCACCTGGAACTAAAACCTTAAGTGTCCTTGCTAGAGAATTGCTAGAAACAAATGAAGAGATGAGTATTGTTAGGCATGTTTGGTACTGAAAGGGTAAATTATTTAAATTAACATAGTGCTAAGAGAAAGTGCACCATTAAGCACTAAGTATATTGATTTTTTTTCCAATAGATTTTATGGGGTAGAACCAAATAATTCACATAGAAGTTTCTATTGATGGCTTTTCAAGGAAAGAGGCTATGGTGTATCGCAAACAAATATATAATGATTTTTATCTACAGTTGATAAAATGTACCTCCCTATGACATACTGAGAAAGAAAGAAAGAAAAGAATTACAGTGTTCAAACAAATAAACGTGCCACTTGTAAAATGATTAATGCAGAATAAAAACCAGAAACTGCAAATAGAGACACCCAAAGTGATACTGAAGAATTTATGTATGCACTATTGACAGGGGTTTTTTTTTTACAACATGTATGTACACAGAAATTTTGCTTTCTTTGTTTGTTTTTTTTCGACACTTAGGCATGTTTCCAATCGTGTTGCTACTATTTACTGGCCATCCACTACTTATTAACCAACTACCAAATTTGACAAACAGTGACAGGGGGTTACCAGAAGTTGCTACTGAAATCCAACTACTTAGAGATTGACTTACAACTAGTTTCAAACCCTGTCACTACAGTTTAATGGCTGCAATTATCCCTTAATCCGTAACATCAGCCTCTTTCCTGGTACAAAGATATTAACAACTGCTAAATACCTATATATGCTACAGGTAAAATACATTGTAACCATGTGATATTACATTGAAACCATAAAGCACATATGAAAACATATTACATCCTATGACACCTTCCTTGCTGAGAACTGGCTTAACACATCTCCCAAGGTCACATCAATAGTTGATATGGAACCATTATGATGAAAACCATTCCGTTTAAACCAACTGGTTAGGAAATTGACCTCTGCAAATTCTCCAGAACTGGATTGTATTTTTAAATACATCTGTTACCAATAGCATTTGTTTTCTATGATTTTCTGGGGTGAGGACAGAGACAAACTTTATTGATATACATAAGACAGGCACCTAGAACTAAAATCTTAAGTGTCCTTGCTCATAAGGATCTCAATGGGAATTACAAGCATGTAAAAAATTTTGTTCACAATTAAGTGAGAATTTTCAGAAATTACTTATTACTTATTCTACAAAGGTTTCTTCCAATTTTATGTTTAGATGCCTGTCAATACATTTGCAATTGTTCTAAATGCTATTTCAGCATTGGTTCTCTTCATTACCAAGCATTTTGTTACTTAACAGGAGAGGTTCATTTACCTCCTTTCTTCATCTTCAACCTTTGTTAACTGCTACTCTTTGGATTTTTATCTCTTATTTCTTTATTATTTTCTTTATTTCTCCACGTCTGTGCATGGCAAGGGAGGACTAGGAGTCTCACACTTCCAGGTATTTAAACCCCTCTTCTCTTTCTGGTGCTATAGCCAGAGAGTTTAGAAGACCTTATTGACTATCTGATAGACATTGATAATCATTTGAGAAAGATACATAACACAAGGAATAGACCTAGGTGTCTTGCTTTAGCTGTTGCACCCAGAGTCACAGCTCCTGATTCCTCTACACCTTCTGAGACTGAACCTTTGCAGTTAGAGGCAACTAAACTGTCAGAAGTAGAGAAACAATCTAGGCAGAAAGAAGGTTTATATTGTGAAAGGAATGGACATCTAAGGAATAATTGATAGGTGTTTCAGGAAAACCTAAGGTCACTCAGGGGACCTGCTTTGGGTGTGACATCTAAGTCCCCTTTTTTGCTCCTAAACCATTTCTTCTCCCCATAACACTGAAGTGAACTGACAAATCAGTTTCTATTGAGGTTTGTATTGATTCTGGAGCTGCTGACAATTGTATAGATACATTTGCCAAATTACATGCCATTCTCTTATTGGAGAAGGGGACACCCTTTGCCGTTGAGGCCATACATGGTAGACCATTAAACTCTCCTATCATAACACATTAAACTGTACAACTTGACATGTGTTCAGGCTTATTGCACATGGAAAAAATGTGATTTCAAGTAATTTTGTCTTTTTTTTCACAAATAGTTTCATCTTACTGATGGCTGTCACTTCACAATCCTAAAATTGACTGGGAACCGGGTCAAATAATCTCCTGGAGTTCTAAATGTCAAGAGACCTGTGTTACTAAGAAAACTCATTTACACTCTATCAATGTACCTACTGCTCTACTATTATTTACAGAGATACCATTTCTATCATTGACATCTGAAATCTGTGTTTGGCAAAAAATAAAAATGATACATTGCTACCTCATACGCTTTGCAAAAGGTTTTATTTTAAGATCGTCCTCACCAACTAGGGCAGTTTTTTTTATATCCAAGAAAGAGGGAGATGTCTTGCATTGACTACAGAGGATTTAATAAGATCACTATACAAAATGGATATCCTATTCCTTTGATCACTAAGTAGTTTGATAGATTGTAG